CAATGAATATATTATGAGGAGGATGTTTTATTAATCCAAAGCATACGTGCCAAAGGAAAAAAACAACAGGTTCCTTTCGACAAAGCATTGTTACTAAAAAACAATTCAATATTCCATAGTTTTCATTACCAGAAATGTGCTTTTTAATTTTCAATTTTATTTTGGAAATTTATAAATCATCAGAAAACAACTCTAGTTCATAGTCATTGATAAACAATATATGTCTGCATATATCAGTTTATAAATTGGTGCAAAGTGAAAAGTATAGCCCTTATCCAGTAACAGACTATTCATTCAATGGTGACATAAAAGCCTTCCAACAATCCTCCATAGAGCTGAAATCGGATGAATCAATGATTCAAATCTCTTGGATACTGATCACAGCTTCACCAGATTCATTTGGTACAAGGAAATGTTTATTTTGGAACCGATGAAACCATTACAACGCAAAACGCCGGCTTCAAAGAACACACACACTTCCTTTATTTACTCTTTAACTGTGAAATTTCTGATGTATAATCCCATCGACTGCAGATAAAAAGGTTAGTCTTGTAAGAAAATACTTTTCAAATGTAACAAAACATTATAATTCCTTTCATACTATCTGTCTTTTTAAGAACTTTTAAGATACCCCTGTAGTTAATTCATTTAAGGATATAACATCCGACTGCCCATCGCCCATCCACTGCCCATTATTCAAACCACCATTTGTGTATTTGAAATTTGGAAAGATTAAGTATCATTAACTTGCAGGTATCAGCAGTGCATTACTGGCTACCAAATAGAAAATGAATTACTTCTTCAAAGACATTTTAAAACCGTTAGTTGGTTGGAGGCAATTAGCAGGAAGCCCTGCTCGACCTGTGTTTCGTGATTGTTGGCAACCGCCAGCAAGGAGTATCTGCAATCCCGACAAAACTGATGTCCCGCCTGAGGTTTGAACCTACGTCACCCAATATTGTAGTCAGTGACTTTACCAATGAGCTATTCTGGCTGCGATTGATATTTTAAAATTATTGGTGTTGTGAAGTAATTTCATTTTCTTGATCTTTGGAAATTCTAATATGTCAATTACCACTCCATAAATATTGCGCAACATACTTTCATATTGTTTTCGTAAAACTTCTCAACAACACGACTAACATTACCACCTGAATGACCGCTGATACGCTTTTTCTCTTATCTGTATACAGTGATAAGTTTGGGACTTAAGAATAAATCACTTAGAGTTGTCATCGTCCTAATGCTGTGAAACAGCACAAGAACATTTACCGTTTTAAAGAATTGACCAATATGTAGGGATTTATTTGTCGATTTCACGCCGATATTCATCATGGCTTGACACCAATTGGAGGGCAATTGGAATGCTGGACAGCTATTTTGTCCTAGTGTGAAACTCCCTTAGCAGTACACACCCATGACTCCACCACGGATCGAACCCAGAACCTTCATGTTTTCCAACCGGCACGTTACCGTTCACCCGGTTTCTAATGGCTCTTCAAATGTTAGCCCATGATTAACATCAACCTGAAATTAATGTGTGATTGCCAATTTTAAACAGAAATGCCACTTTCATTCCGATGCATATTCTGCTTATGATATGAAAGGTAGTGCAAAATGAGTTCTGGTCAGCATAAAAAGGTGAAGTTTTGGTGATGAACAACTTCCCAATGTCAATTTACAGTATTGTCAAGTCAAAGATAAACCATTAAGATGGAAATAAATATAAGTGTGGTACTAATTTAGATGTCTTCTAGAAAATTGTCAAAACATTCAAGGACTCATACATTACATTCACAATCCAACCGTCACCAGTCAGCTATTCTCTCAAGTCAATCGAGTCAGTTTATAGCCACTCACTATCTGGTAATCTGTTGTAGACCAACCCAAGCTCAACATGACAAAGGATCTACAAGTAATAAAAGCTGCAGTTGTAATCAAGCTGCTGAGCCTACAACTGTTCAAGTCGCTAAAGAAACATCAACTTAGGTCCGACTCTGACTAAATGAAAAAAACATTGAAGCAGATGCTTCTTCCGGCAACAATAACAAACAAAGGGTTAAAGGAGAATACTTAGCAGTGAATGACCCCAATATATCACTAAAGGATTTTGTGCTTTTCGAATAGAAAACGCTCCCAGTGACCATGCTGACTTAAGTTGTCGACTATATTTCAAACATGCGATTTTATATAAATCCTGTTCTAGGAATCCAAGGCTTTGATGTCATAAATGCTCGGCTCGCTACTTTTGTTGTACAGTAAATTGAATCGAATTAGTTTTTAAATTTCGTAAAAGTCTTTCAGAATATGATTCCAACCAGTTGTAGGAGGTGGCGGGGCACAGTATTCTTCTCAAACAAGACAATATTATTACTAACTGTTTATTTCGTTTTAAGTCTTCCGGAAAACACTAAATGCAACTCCAACATATATGTTCAAGGAAAGATTCATGTAAGACAACCTTGAGAATGTCTTCTTTAGGGACATTCCCAGTACGTTGTATCTTGACTGCTGTCTAATCGTCAACATGAATTGACGTTGAGAGCAACATTGTTAGAGATGATGGTGCTGGTGCACTGACTTCAGTATTGAAGTTACTCATGCAGCTTAGAGAGGACAACAATACCAATATCATTCACCTAAGCTAGAAATACTATTCAATATTATGTTGGGTAGCATTTCGTATTTTTATATCGCCATAAGAATTGTGTATAGTTTCCAGTACTCCTGCTAGCTACCAGATAATTACGTTTGTGTGAATCATGAAATAGCAAGTGAAATATCGCGAAGAAATTCGTGTAAAAATTTGCAAATAAGTGAATAAAGTGATTGTACAAATATATTGGAATTTTTTCCACTTTTGACTTAGCCGTAGATGACTGACAATCAAGATCCAATACAGCGGTGCACTTTTCGCCTTAGAACATAATGTTATGCCTACACCTGCAAGACCGCAACAACTAGCTATCAAAACTCCAGAAACTCGAAGGGTGAATTTTTCAGATCCACCAGATTGACCGGATGAAGTTAAGTGAATAACTGTAACTGAGTCACTAGTGCGTATGACACAGACATACCACATAAATCCAGAGTTCGATGTACTAAAGTTTCGGTTAGCGAAGCTTGTTGGTCGATTCGATAGATGGTAAGAACATTGAAAGCTATAATGTAGTTTCAGGAGACCAAGAATGCTGTTACGTGGACTCAGATCGTTGTCCAGAGCTGCAGAGATGGAAGAAATTAAATATAATGTAGGATTATTTATCGAGAGACGTGAAGGAAGATTAGAAAGTAAAGATAAGGAAGGTGGTTTGAGACCTAAGAACACTTGAGTGCTGATAGAGTTGTGAGGGTGGTTGACGTTTCCCGGCTATCCATTCCGTGGCACGATGCCTTTCCCTGAGGTACCTTACTAAGAAAACTGCGTTAGTAAGTGGTGCGTGATCGCAGGGTCTAAGTGACATCTACCTGAGACCAGACGGGAAAAACTAGTAAGAACTTCATATACAAGTGTATTGATTCAGGTTGCTACGCTTAATAGTAGTATGTGAAGAACAAGTCTACAGAAAAAGACGGGTATCAAAGCAGAGGAAGTTGTGTGAGAGAATAAATAATTTAAGGTAAAGGTTAGTGCGAATACTTAAAGAGTGAATACATCTGCTCAACTGTCACCAATTTTCAGCTGTTTCACCAAGACCCCTCAACCACCGATTCCTATCCCCTCAAGAACCCCAGCCAGATAGTCTGAATCTTCCAACACGGCTCATACTGACAGTCAGAGACTTTATCGACTGATGCCACATCTTCGTCTAGCCATCCTGAACCCTCTTTCCAACTTAAGCCAGCTTCCCGTAGCATAGCATACCTAGGTAGGCGACGGCTCGGCATACGCAGTACATATCTAAGCCATCGCAATTCATGAAGGTTCACAACCCCATCAATCGATTTGCATCTTCAGCCTATAGGCCAAGTGTCCTGCTTGAGGCTTGTCACACAGCGCTTTTTCGCAAATTACAGATTTTGGTTTGTTGCTTTCGTATTTACTATGAACCCATATCGCCGGTATTGACATGCCACGAGGAAGGGGGAGTGTATTATTTTGGGGGCTAACCTTTTCTACCCCCCTTCTCATAAGGAAGGTACCAACAGCGGAGCACTGCTGGTCATCAGAGGAAAACACATCACTGGTGTCACTCCCCCCCCCATTCAGTCAGCAATACGACTTTGCTCTCCAGACCCTATAGTAGCGTAGCAATTTACACTATTGTGATAACTGCTTTTTATTTTACCACTATCCAACAGACCTTTCTGGCATGATAGGATATTGAGGAAACAAGCATTCCACCAGCATAGCTCGCTGAGTGATTGTGATAAGCGACCCCCGACCAACATGTCAAAGCAGCGGCTATCTTTCGGGTAAAACCTACCAAAATAATTTTTACTGGGTTAATCGCTCCAAAGTAAACAGTTCGTGATCACAACCACAATAGTGTAAATTAGTAATAAAGATGCCATAAATGGATCTTCAACTAAGGATTATCAATGGTAAAAGCAACTTAATAAATGCACCAAAACATGTATGATGAAAAGAAATATCTTATTGAATTATAAATACCAAGGAGATTTCTATTACCAAGTTAAAGAACTACATACGACATAATCATACAAGATAAGCATAAAACAGTTCGTATGAAAAATTCAGTCCTACCAGAAGTTAGTTGGGACTTGAATACCTTAACGACAATTTATGTGGCTTCAGTATTAAGTGACTGATGTTCGAATCCCCGGAGCAAGAATTACTTCAGATACAGATACCACCGACACAAATAAGTGACGAGTATCAATAAGTGCTAAAGTCAGATCAAACATGGTTTCCTGATGACTTACTCCTCACATTTAACGACAAATTTACCAGTACCTTAGAATACCATTCAAATTATGTGAGTTTAATTCAACAACAAGATCTTTTTGAAGTGACATAATACATATGATTTACTTACTTTGTACCCAAAATTTAAATCAATCCAATGGTGCAAACTTTTAGATACTTCATCACTTTCAAGGAGTTTAGCATGATATGTAATAAATTCCTCCGGGGTAGAACACCAAGACGGCAGGCCAAGATCAGGCATGTCAGAATGAATAGAAGAGAAAACTGATGGATCTGTAAAAAATTCAGGAATGCATTCATCTGGTGTGGATTCGTATAATCGAGCAATACTTGTCGGAAATTCCTGAGGTTGATAAACCGGGCGTACAAACTGTGTCAGCACTGATAACGGTGTTTTTCTAGCCTATTACATTTTAGGAAATTTGGATTTAAAAAACAATAAAAGAAATCAATTAAGGAAAGATTATCTGACTCAATAATGAATTGTGTACAGTACATTAGGTTGGGAAATATTCATACGAAAATATTGGTTATTGATTATTTCTTTCTTTCTTTCACATCAGAATAAACTTCAGCAAACGGTTAATCCAGTATCCTGAACATATGAATGGATGATGTAACTCTATAACTATATGTAGATTCTTGGACTAAGTCGTGAACTACACCTACTGTATGAGAGCTAATGAAACTACCTGATTTCTGTACCTATGATAGGTACAGCGAGTTTTAAATCCAATGGTCAAAGGCTTAACGCATAGGTTGATGAGCAAGTTTCTCATATCATTTTGTAGTCTGAAAATATTAATAACAAGTTAACTACCCTTAATCTAGCTTGACAAAACATTTGAGACATTTAATTTTCTTAAATATTAGTCTCACCCTAATTTATTATACTAACGAAAGAAATCAGCATATTTAGCTTTTAAATGAAATCTGATTACAGATTAAACCTAATCATGATCAACCTGTCATCAGATTAACAATACAAGAAGGTGATCATCGTTCTCCACACTGACACTTCTATAGATGCATCCAATAGTAAAATATGACTTTTACCATTTAATGAAGGATTGCTTTCAGTAAGTAAACTTAGGAAGTATAATTTTGTGCATTAAAGAATTATTCTAAATGAATAATTTGTTTTTATTGATTGCACATTATACATATTTCATTAAAATGCATTTTCAATATCCAACACTTTACGAAGTCAAACTCAGAATTCATACAAATGACTATGACTGAAAATAAAATAGCACCTCGATCATATATAAATAAGCGGAATAAGCATCTTAGTTTCCTGTCTCTACTCTGTGGAGTGAACAAAGATTTAACAATTTACCAGATTCCATATAAGTCCAATTAAACCACTCAGTATTATGTCGAACCATATCGTTATTGGAAGATCGGAACAACTGATCATATTTCGTCATACAAATCAACTTATATCAAAAAGAATCAGACTTTAATTTAGTGATCTAACGAAAACGTCAGTGGATGTGACTGATGTTACTTTCAGTTGTGAGCATATTTTAATTGAACTATCTCCCTTTTTATCAAATTTGAAGATATTCTTACATCTTATCTAGGGCTAAATCATAACCAATTTCTAACATTACAAATCTTTATCATATGGGTAGAACCCACAAAAACAACGAAGTCAAAGGCAAATAAAAGTTTGAAGTTTAGCTCACAAGAAACTAAATAGAACAAGCTGATATAAGTGAGAAGTCATCTGAGACTGTATAAGTTATCATTATTGCAACACACTATACGACTGAAGCCAACTGATAAAGTCAAAACATGTCAATACTCACGATGACAAACTTATGAAGTATTAAACAATAGTGATTATCAAATACCACTATAATTGCTTACCATATACGTATAATAGGCTAGATCAGGCATTATATCAAGTAAGTGATGTGGAGAAAAGATGAGATTTGTGTTATGTTGTCTGATGTCTAAATTTCTATTTCCTTTAAATGAAAAAGATTCACCACTGTTGATATTTTCATCCGTATTGCTGAACAGTAAATTGTCATTTGAGTTATTCAAACCACATGTAGCTAAAGGAAGTAAGTATAAATTTGGATAGAGGAACACAGTGACTTACCTGGCTCATCATAAAAACTTACAAAATCTTGTTGGTGATTCACACTATCAAAATCTTCTGATATACAATTACCTAACGGCCAACTAGGACGTTTAGATATAACGTGATTATATAAAGATGCCTTAAAATTAGCATCCAACTGATCTTCTCCTTTACATAAATGGTACTTGGATTTCGTTAAATCTCTCAGCTCCCATACGGAGTATCAAAGTTAGTTATCCACGGCAAGATGGCACTATTTGAAGGATCACCCTTATGTCTTCCGGCAAGTTTATTGAGGTACATGAGATAATCATAGTTTGAAACCTGAAGTTAAGAGGATAATTTCTGTATATTGTTAGGATGAATAAAAGCTATTTCCGATAAACTATTCGATACCTTTTATGTATTATAACAAGCTATACAAATGGATGATTATATTCCATCCCAATACTCCAGAATAAATACCAGTTTACGACATACACCACTGACTAACATAACTAGTTAGGCCACAAAACAACTGGCAGCACTCTTCGGCTAAACAAAACTGATCAATGCATTGCAGGTTCTTTCTTTTGCATTCAAAATAACAATAGATGTGTCTGAATAGATCCAATCTGGATTTATCAGTTGCTTAAACTAGTTGAGTTCTAAGTGAGGTGCTTAGCAACATTAAAAATGACACCGTTTCCCTCTGGTCAGTCATTTAATAATATAAAATTATATTTGTCTGTTAATTTCACCTACTAATAATATTAAATTTAGAAACAAATTTGGCAGTGATTAATGTCATAGAACATGAATAATACCATCTATCGAAGATCAAAAAACTGATCTAGGCAGCACTAGGGGTGAATTATCTGGAAATCCAGCTGTTAAAAATAATTAAGAAAACACTAGAGGAGGCTAAGTAAACAAAGTAGGTGTTTATAACGCAAGCAATGTGACACGATGTATTATAGGTAATTTTTTAGTGCGGAGCTTACAAAAAATGATAAACTTTTACTTGGGTATTCTTCCGAGCAAAACTACTGCCCGTGATCACACCAGCAGTTGCAATATTTTAGCAATATTTATTCACAATAGGCGTCATATACATAGTCTTCACTTATTGTTCGTTAGTCAGTTCAATATATTGTTCCATATGGTTGGCAGTTGTGTTGATTCACCTTTTTTGCGTGTATTAGGGGTGATACGTGGAAATATGGACTCTGTTATTAACCTTTCTTTTCATTTGTTTATTGGTGGACTCTAGTATGGTAGTGTTGTTCTAATCGACGTCATGTTTTTCGTTCTATGCATTAGCTTCTATCGACGAACTTTTTTCCAAATTGTGTGTAAACGTTTTCTTAAGAATTTACTTATAATACACTAATCCATTTCACAATGGACAAACTTTTTGTTGATATATTTAATGTGATTTAACCTCGGCAACCGTGTCCAGGTTGTTGCCCAAGGATATGAACTTGCAGCCCAGATTAGATGCGTAGAAAATAAGCTGTTTAGACCGTAGTCATTTTCCCGCAATCAGACGAGCAAAAATTCAGCTATGGAGCGAATCCAGTTGGAAGTAAGGACCTATTCCACCAAAGATAGAAGTATCGCAAACTGAATGAAATTGAGAAATGTGGACTGTTGTATTTTACTCAAGTGGCTGCAATGTAACATAGTAGCCTATAATCCTGAATATTTTAGGTTTTATCCAGCACAACCTCGATGGTGTTATTAATGAAAGTCTCATAAAGAGAAACCGCTATAGAAGGGTTTCTTACTTCTAATGGTGTACTCCTTAATATTGGTGCATAACCAACATGATCTTCAAACCCACTGGTTTTCAGTTCAGCACTCAAATAACGCAAAAACTCACATTTTTGACCCCACGCTAAGTACGGACATGAATCTGTAAAAAGCCATTAATTAATACAGGTATCATGATGTTATTTTCTTGAAAATGCACACAACAATAACACACTGACTCACTTTGTGTAGTACCCAATCGGTAGTCGTCTTAGACAGTTTACTATCATTGCACGCCGGAAGCCCAATGTCTGGAATTCTTTCATCCTTACGACAGCCATTTATTTCAGCCTTTGAGAAGAAATCGACTGTGTTCGGAAAACCAAGAAACGTGTTGAAATTTTCATCAATAAATACGTTATGAAGCGTTATGCCACAATGTGGTAAACCCATCTCGTGCAGCTGTTTGACAGTATGAATAACCTATGGAAACATGTTTCGCATGAGTGATTAATGAAATACCTGAAAAACAATAAATAGTAGTGTATTGCAGTTTTGGAGACGACCAGGACTATACCTGATCACATCATAAAGTGATATTCCAGCTACATCATAATTTATTACATGTTCATCTTCATTTTGAGTGTAGTTAAAACACTTTACAATATTCAAATTTTGTGGGTTCAACAGTAAGTCCAAAATCTTATCCAAGATGGCTTTACATGTCTGGATTTTGGAAAAACTCGTTTTATTTGTTCATGACAGTTTACCGTTTTCCTTGGCATATAATAATGAATATTATTTTGTAGGAAACATTGATGACTTGCAAAACAACTACACCATAAATGCATTAGCTCTGATCTTCTCAGTTCACTCACGAAATCACATGACTGGCAAGCATGATCTTCATGGCTAAAGAATATAAATATTTTTAAAGTATGAAACTAACTGCAACTGCAAATTTAGAGATGTTTCTGACAGTCGCCAAACTTTTTGTCTTTTCATCACATAAACTTACTGGACCTGACTAGTATGCTGTAAATAAGATAAAAAGAACACATTAGCAGATATCTGAAAACACTAAATTCTACAATTAAAAACGTTCCTACCAAAGATAGCAGGTATAATGACAAGTAAAAAACTAAAAGAAATCGAAATAGCATCACAGTAGGTACCTCTGTACTACGAAATTCAGTATGACTCAGCAAATTTGTATCCATTCATGTAATAGGCTGGGGATTAATTATCCTAACCGGTTACCCAGACCGAAGTACCTGAAAAAAAATATTTAAGCCCAAGACCCATATATTTGGGCACGTTAACTGATGGGCGAATTTCCCATTTCACTAAGTACTCGTCGCACTACCCAGAAAAGTCTTAAATTATGTTAGTGCATAGGGCCTGAAAATGCAAGTAACAGAGACTGAGACCACTGGTTGGAACTAGCTTCCCAGCTTTAACCTCATTCTTAGTTGTGCGGTGCTGCTACAAAACAAGATGCAACAAATTATTGGGTACCCTGAAGTTGGAAACTTTTCCGAATACACTCAAAGAGGACAGGGGTTCACCATTACATCCTAATGCACTTACGTTGGAAAGCATATGTGAACTTATGGGTGCAAATAAATATACGAGTACTTATACACTTTCGACTGAGAAGAAACAAAGGTAGTAAAACACAAAGGACTGAGTTTCGTTACTAAATAAGCTCTAGCGAGTGCGACTCTTAAGCCTGGGTTAACCCGTCATGAAAAACCATCTTCGTTGGAGAAAAACTGAATAGAAACTATCTGCTTCTTAATTATAGCAACATCCTTATCTCTGTATTATCTTTCATATTTTCATGTATTTCTTCGGATAAGTATGACGATATAGGTATTTTTCAACAGCTAATGAGTTATCCAATATCCAATATTGATAGTGCAAGCGTAGAAAACTGGTAGTTTTTGATTTCTCGCGTCTAGTTCTTAGGGCTTGGTTCCAGTTATGCAGCATATCGCCAATCACAAGCGAGTAGCTTGAACGAATAGCAAGTAGGCTAAAACACAATGTTAATTCACTTCAACAGTTAGATGCCTTCGGTTATAAGCAATACTTAATGTGGTTGATAATGATACTTCTCGGTTATAACCCAGTGTGCATACAGGTAGGCCGAATAAGACCAAATAGTTGGAATCCAGGACTAACTAGTTATATCTTGACCGTCCAAGCCCCGTCATCAATGCATTTCACTAGGTGGAAGCTCTCTCTTCAAACCATGCTTATGATAGGTAGTTCTCACAATTGTGCCACCATTTAGGAGACTTAGACCGTCAGTCACGCCAGTATTACGAGCAACCAACACCACATCCAATGATCTTAAATACTACGATTATACTTTTCGAAGGTGGTTAAGTAGTTTTGAAAGATTAGAGATGGAGAAAATACCACTAGCCAACTTTTCCATCTAATCTTGGTCACTTAAATTTTTTTAGACATGAGAATCCCACAACTCTTAAAAGATTTTTAGAGAAAACACGATTGCAACACACTAATTCTGCATATCCTATTGCACTTACTAACTACACATATTGTGAGTTTGGAGACGGACGCATGACCTTGAGGGGTTCACATTACGAGCGGTTTCTTTCCAATATCCAATACCATATTTTGAGCTTACACACGGACCAGTGATTTCTTCACGCTCACTTCCATGTATTCTCAAATGACACCAGGACTTTGATGGACTTCGGTACAGCTGGTCTACCCACTAACTTGACTTAGCACTAGTAAGCCAGATGAGTTCAATATCCAACATCTTTTAACGAGCTAGTGTAAACCAACCGATTTCTTCGCGCTCGCTTCTAGGTCTTGCGGAACGCTTCCAGGTCTTCGGTGGATTCCAATGCAGCAGGTCTACCCACTCGACTGCTGTAGCTCTGGTTAGCCAGACGGGCGGTTGGGTGTTGTTTAGATTTGTAGCGAGTGTTGTTTGTTTGTTTGCTTTTTCTTCCGAGGACTGTGGTGAAGATGGGTTCCTCAAATGTCATGCCAGCAGACAACTGGTCGGAATGGTTGTAAAAAGGAGATGAAAAATATGTGCAGAGAAATCAAGGGAGAGAAAGTGCAGAGAGAGACTAAGTAGAAAAGGAAGCGGAAAAAGAAAGAAGAATGATATATATTAAAAAAAGATTAGGAAAAAGGAAACGGCACGGAAGAATAAACACTGGCAGGTTCATGGGGAATAGATGGTAGGGAGAGCTTTTGTTAAAGTTCGAGAACGTAAAGTCAGAAGTAAGAAGAACAAATAACATGAAAGGACGAATGGGAATATAGTAATTCTTTTAGTAGAGGACGGTAACTGAAGGGGACGTCTACAGGAAGGTATAAGGTTAAGCCAAGTTCTCAGCGATAGTGGTTTTACAAAGTGTTCAGTAACGGTTGGTCGTACCAAGTTAGTAAGTCGTGTTAGCCTAGTCCACATCCCAGTTGGATAAGCGCAAACCGTGCGTCGCTGCGTAACTGTCCAACCTCTTCTTGAAGCTGTCAACAGACGGGGCAGTAGCAATCTCGGCAGGCAATGCGTTCCAGTGGCCGCAAGCTCGCAGGGAGAAGAGGTGTGATCGCACACGGGTTTTCGCTCTTTGGTGAGCGATCCTCCTTGGGTTACCGCGAGGATCGCCATAGTGACCGTTCGGTAGGATTCCACTGTTCGGATGACTTGGGTTACTGAGTATTTTGCGAGCCGTTATCAAGTCACCACGTAATCTGCGGTAGCTAAGGCAGAATAGCTCTAGATCTTTCAGCCTGTCCCGATATGGTTTTTGCCTCATTCCCACGACACCCTTTGTAGCTCGCCTTTGGACTTTCTCCAGGAGGTTCATGTCTCTTTTCAGGTGTGGTGGTGCAATGACGTTGTGTACCTCTAGGTGGGGTCGTATATAGGTCTTATGCAGCTTCAAAAAGAGTTCCGGGGTCAGGGCACCCAGTTGTCTGCGCATGAAGTGCAGTACTGCGTAGGCTCTGGAGGCATCTCCTGGATCATTGGGGCTAGTGTCTAGTTTGTCAGTTAGTATTAGTCCTAGGTCTTTCTCTGTGGTGTCGTGGGAGAGTTGTGTTCCACAGAGAGAATAGGGTACCTTCTGAGAGTCTGGGGCATGAAGAAACATGGCTTGGCACTTATCTGGGTTAAATGCAAGTCCATTAATGTCCACCCACTCTGCAAGTAATCTGAGATCACTTTGCAGTCCACTTGATTCTGTTTCTGACGTCACAGCTCTCCATAGCTTAACATCATCAGCGTAGAGTAGAATTGGGGAGCCGAGATTCAGTGGGAGGTCGTTCACAAAAAGAAGGAATAGCAGCGGACCCAGAATCGCCCCTTGTGATACACCAGATGACAATGTCCTCCAAGTCGAGCAAACTCTGTTGGCTTTTGTGCAGAATTGTTCACCGTCTAGATAGTCCTGCAACCATGAAAGCACTTGTCCCTTGATGCCCAACCTTTCTATTTTGTGAATAAGAACGGTGTGGAACTGTGTCGAAGGCCTTAGTAAAATCCAGGAAAATAACATGGACAGGAATTTGGAGGTCCCAGCATGCCGTCCACTTATCACCTGCCGCCAGAATGTTTGTGGCACAGGACCTACCCTTTCTGAAACCATATTGTGCATCACTGAGTGCTCCCCTCTTTTCTAAGTACTCCCTGAGATGGTCGTCTATCAGACTCTCCATTACTTTTGACACCACTGGTAGGAGGGCTATAGGTCGGTAGCATTTCGGGTTCTGCCTGTCTCCACCTTTGAAGATGGGGGACAGAATAGCACTTTCCCACTCTTGTGGAAGTATGTGATTGTCTAAGGAGTGTTGAAACAGGTTACACACAGCACAGCCGATCGGATGTCATCACACCCTGGTGATTTCCCTGAGTGGAGCTTTGACAGTTTTTCGAGGACCACAACAGGAGTTACCTTATTCCAGGTAACTCCACTGCTTTTGGTGGTGCAGAATTTCAGTTGGACAGTTGGTAATTTTGGTTTGATAGAGACATATTGAGTTGCGTATCGAGGTTGGTGCTAAAGGCTTCGGCGATCTCTAGTCCGGAGAGGTTCTCTCCGTTTAGGCCCTTCAGAATGCAAGCCTCCTGGCTGGTGGATTTTCTGCCCACCATAAACCGATATAGGTTTTTGGGATTTGCCTGGAGCTTTTGAGCAAGGTTCGTCCGGAATGACCTCCTGTCTCCCCTCACTCTAATGGTACATCGATTTCTCATGGCAATATACGCGGTGTGGTCAGACACTTTTCTGGAGGTCCTCCACTTGTGCCATGCTCTCCTCTTGGCGTTCGAAAGGCTTTCAGTGCCTCGCTTCAACCATGAGGCTCGCTTCTTCAGTATTGCTGTGATTACTGGACGTTTTCAGAGACAGCCTTCTTGGTGATATCTCTGACCAGTTCCCAATGTTGGTCAATCGACAGGTTGCTCCACTCCTGAGGCCTGGTGCTGTCGATGATAGTGGTTCATCGCCACGTAGTTCGCTCTGTTGTAGCAAAGACAAGGGCGCGATGGCTCCCATGACAGTTGTTCGGAGAGCACCAGATCAAGCACCACCACACCATGATCGCCGTTGCCGAGGGGGTTTGAACCTGTACATTTCCTACCAGCAGTGGGTCACTGGTAAAAACGTGGTCCAGTTTGGACAGATTTCCGCCCGACCCCAGCAAGTGTCGTCACCAATATTCTCATGCAGCCCAGCCTTTTGGACAGTTTTGAGTGGATTTCGGCCGAACCTTCGGCTTGAGGTTCTCTTTTCCTGCCCAAGATTGAGAGTCGGAACATTAAAGTCGCCGGCTATAATGACCTGGTCATATCCGATGGACGTCGCTCAGGACATTACCAGCAGCAGTTGTCGGTCATCTTCCACGTCGCTAGTAAGGGTTCTGTAGACGCCTCCTACTAGGTACTTAGTGTGCCCAACCTTAAATTGGCACCAGATGGAGTCTGGCAGCCCTGAAAGTAGGGTTTCAGTTGCTCGTTCCTTTTAAGGTTATCACTTATAAGCATCGCCACTCTGCCTCCCTCCTTAAACTCCCTGTCTCTCCTAAACAGACGCATACCGTCTGTACTGGTTTCGACGTCGCTAATGTCCGGTGATGACCACGTTTCTGCCAGGATTATGATCGTTGGAGCAAGGTAGGAACAGAGAAATCGTAATTCCCCCATTTTACTTCCAAGTCCCCTCACATTGCTGTAAAGGCACTTGGATATGTTTCTAACGACAAGGGGTATCTTGGTGCTGGTGCTGGCGCTGAAGGGAGTAGTGCGTAGTGGCGAAACCTGCTATGGGACGGCCGGCTCCAGTGGAACCGGCCCAATCACTTTTTCCCACGATGGTTTCTGGGGGTTTCATGGAGTCCAGGCTTGGTTGTGCATCTTGTCTGTTGACAGTGATGGTGACTTCGGCGGTGGGTGGTGCTGCCATTTGCTGCTGTCTCAGTGTCCTGGGCTTGCTTTCACAGCAGCGAACATTCCCGCTGATGTTGTCTTTTACTGTGTACCAGGTTTGCAGCACACTGGTCAAAAGTTCTTGACAGCCGAAGTTAACAGCCATCGACCGGGGTGCTGTTATCGTCGTCAAATGTGAGGGACGTGGCAATCTGCAGACCGCCGCTGCCGCTATCCCGTTTAGCCCCATCCTTGCTGACAACCACTGCCATTGCTGGACGTCGTGAGCATACTTTTCTACGACTGTGCCGGTTGTCAGTTCTGATATGCCCTGGGCAACCATAGTTGTTGGTTTCTGCTTTTGGGGCGCCTCACGAGATACTTTTCTTGCTGACTAAGAGCGGCCTGGTCTGGCTCTAATGCTGGATGACCTGTTGATGACTAGTGTGTGTGACTTCAGCAAGAATCTTTCCGCTTCTTTAGCTGGGCTAAGGGTAACTCACATTGGCGGAAGCCTTTCCTGAGGTGGGTGGTTGCCCTTGTAGAGCCTGCACAGTTTTGCTTCTAGGCTACCTAGTCCTACTGTGGTGCATACGGTTTTCCATTGCTGCTTGTCAAACGATTCTCCGTTCTCGAGGAGACTATCATGGCACACGGAGACGTTAAATAAAATGATGGAGTTCGACCCGTCATCAGCTCCTCTATTTTCGTACGCCGTTGGTGGCTTTTTGTGGGAGGGGTGCACCTTCTTTTCTACTACCACCCATTCTTCCCGTTGCATAGTGGGGTAAGCCTCTAAAGTGGCTTCAAGATTAGGAGGGAATGTAGTTGGTCGCGTACCCGGTCGCCGTTTTGGTCCCTTTGGACTATTCACTGGTGTGACTGGCCGGGGCACAGTGCCGACACTCTTGCTGCTTGGGCTTGGAGTAGTGGTCTGCGGGGGTGCCGGCATCACAGTGGTCACTGCGGTGTCCTTTACGACCTCCCTAAGCGAGCCTTTGGAAAAGAGTGGCCTCACATGGCACTGTGGACAGATGTACCAGAACCACGTGCATGGGCAGCGCGCCGTGAAGGCGTTATATCTGTCTGGTATGTCCTCGTCACACTGACTGTGCACCCACTTATTGCAGATGTTACACTCAAAGGCA